CCCCAAAACCCCAAAACCCCAAAACCCCATATGGCTAAACCATATTTGAATAATTATAAAGATGTCTCAGGATACTCACTCCCAACACTCAGGTACAAATCATGCTCACAGAAGCGAAGTTATTACTCATTTGGATAGACATCCTTGCTTGATGATAAGATAGCGATCCCATATAAGTTGTTTTGTAGAGAAAAATTACAATTTTGAACAGAAATCTGTACTATCTTGTTTTAGAAAGATTAGGTCGGCAATATTTTAACATCGATGTCAGTCCCTTCTTCGTTAGACAAATCAATTAGGTGATTTCGATTCATCACTAGGGTGTAGATTACATTTATGTCTACACTTCTTTGAATTACTCAACTTTTGGGAAGAAGAGAATTACTATTTTAGGAATTAATTCCATGCAAACATTTTATCGAAGTTTCATAGCTGATATATTAAAATTTCGAAGAGTAAAATGTTTTCGGAAAATCTTAATTTTAATCCTAGAAATAGGTAGATTGATTGATCATCCAAACCAAGTCCCAAACATGGAAAACCCAGATTCTCGAATAAGAGTAAGAGCATGTCCACAATATTTTATCTTTTTACGATTTTTACCGGATTTGTAGCTGAAAGCAAAAGCCCTCTGGGATTCCTGAATCCTAAAAGCTCAGAGAATAGTTGATATGTACAACAGGTTCTCGGGCTATGATGAAGAAGTTGATGAGTACATAACTGATGTGGTCGAAGAAACCATCCAGAACACTTATACGAAGTACATCCAGATGGTCTGAGGAGTCATCATTGGGCTCTCAGCAGTCACTGCAGTCATGAGTATTCCAGGTAAGCTAGTGGTAATCAGTCTTTAGACTCCAAAGATGTTGATAAAGCTGCGAAGTTGCAGACCTGATACAACTCGATTACATTTGTAGTGATATTTATGGGGCTACTCATATGCCTCAAGTACAAACCAATTTATGTGCTGTATTTTGTACCTCTTCTGTCTGGTGGTAGCATGTATATGTGCACTTTGCTGACTTTAGAAAAAGACACTTACAAACCCAGTGAATGGCATATTGCTGGCGCGTGCATTGCTCACATTCTGCTCATACTAGTTCCTCATCAGTGGAAGTCCAGTTGCCTTGTGTTTTGCATTTTGCAGTTATATTTTGTATACTCAATTTGGGCCAAGTTCAGCTTCACTGATAGCGACATTATTGGAAACATGGTTTTCTCATGCCTGTGGTTTACATTATCATCGTTCATGCTAATGATCAAGTCTAGAACGATGTACGCTGAGATTATCAAAAACAAAAAACTCATACGAGAAATGAAGAAGGTCCTCCAGATCCTGCCGTTAGGAGTAGTCATTTGGCCGTCCCAAGCATCTGGCAAATGGTTCACAAATCATGAATTCAACAAGAAGTTTGCAAAAATCAGGCAGGACCTTGACGAGCTTGACGATATTGATGTGTCATTCGTAGACAACTCTGATGCAGCCAAAGCCTACAAAGACATTCCAAGCAACCTTGCATCGCTACTCAGAGCTCAGCAGCAAGCACTTGACAACAAAGACGCAATGAGTGACACAGATGCCACCATTCAATGCAGTAAGCTCTCAGCCAATATGCTTAACAATGGTGATGATGCTGAAAGTGAACAGAGGACATGCAATGTCAAAACTCTGATGGTCGAGTGGGAAGGAGCTACTTCTTATATGCATGTCTTCATTGATAACACTGGTGTGATCAAGCTTGAAGAAGCCAAAAACAACATCAAGTGACAGAAGATCATGTTTGCTAGCGCTTCGCACGAGTTTAGGAATCCACTGAACTCGATCACGAACTCCATTGACATTGTGTTTGATGCATTCAAAGTAATCAACGAGGTAGCTCAGCCGTATTTTGCAACTCTCAGTGACGAAACTCAAGAGTTCGTCACCATGAACACAGAAATGCTGACCAAGTTTGTCAAGATAGGCAAAAGCTCGTCGTTTTTATTGCTGACTCTGATAGAAGACATGTTGAACCTGTCCAAGATGGAGGCAGGTACCTTTACCATTTCGAAAGAACACTTCAAAGTCGAAAGGATCCTCACAGATGTATATGACATCTTTTCTATGCAATGTCAGCGCAAAGCACTGGCTCTTGATCTGCATATCTCTGAGGCAGCCAGACAGCGAGAGATATATTCAGACGAAATGAGGCTAAAACAGGTCATACTGAACTTGGTCTCTAACTCGTTGAAATTTACTTTTGGTGGCGCCATCACAATCAGCTGCAGATTACTTGAGTATGACGGAGTCTGCGTTGCTGAGTTCAGCGTAAGAGACACCGGCGTTGGTATTAGCCGTGAGCAACAGAAATAAATTGTTTAAGCTGTTCAGCATGATCACTGAAACCAATTCTTTGAATCCGAACGGAACTGGAATCGGCCTCACTGTCAGCAAGAAGTACGTCGAAGCTATGGGAGGCCAGATAAGTCTGGAGTCAGCTGAAGGACAAGGAACCCTCGTCACATTCACCATCCGAGCAGACGAAGATGTTAAACAGCCTGCAGACATGGTTAAAGCAATAAAGCCTGCAAAGTAAGAACAACAAGTTGTCAATATCTTGTTTGTTATTTCAGGGATTTTTGCTTCGAAACTAGAAATGGAGCCTGATTTAACTAGTCTTATATAGAGAAATATGGGACATTCATGATTCAAGTGAAGAAGGTAGCATTCCTATTGATCTCATCAAAAGAATCAAAACAGGCCGTTGCCAAGTGCCAATTCACCAATGTAGAGAAGAGCGTAAAGAGTAAAGTTATTTAGTAATGATTGCATAAATTATATTTTATTGATTGCCTCAATTATAATATCCATCTTAGGGGTTTTGGGGTTTTGGGGTTTTGGGGTTTTGGGG